AACACAAATGTGATAAGAAAGTCCACTATGTAAACACACACTACTTTTATAATGTTACACACTGATCAAATCCAACAATCTACACTTGTTGTTTTGTTATCTTTACCAATTGGTCAACTTGACAACTAAAAATGCCCCCCGACTGATGAACGATGATCAAGTTAGTAAACTTTGTTTTGATACCATAACAGATGTACTATTACCTTTGATATTTGGTTAAGTGATCTTCATTGCTATTTTGACTTTCAATAAGTCCTTTTAACTTGACCTAAGTCTATTTTCTCACCTCTTAAATCTTTGTTATATATATGCTGAGATTTTGTAAATTCCAGTTTAATAATACTTTGATAAAGCTATTAGCAGCATTCAATAGCGAAACGTCAGTAAAAACAACAATATCGTTTTGTTTTTCATTCACTGGGAAATACAAAACCCTTTATTATAATAAATTAGATGCTGTTAAAATAACTTTCTTCAAACAAACAACAAAAATGAGTACTTACCAGTAAGGTAATCAATTCATTCAACCGTTCAAGAATATCATATTGATCATCGTGTAACCGCCAATTACATTCTTGATCGTTACTTTGACGTGATTCAAAGAAACGAAATTTAATGTTAAGTAAACACCAATCTGGACTTTGTGAGTACTCCTCTTCTGTTTTTTCTACATCAGTCGACTGGAAACCGAAATTCAGAGTAAATATTATGATAATAATAATAACAGTAATAATAATAATAATTTGCTTTATTCTAATACAGTACCTGCGATACAGGTATGTCTGTCTATCTGTTTTCAACATAGAACTTTGCACAGATGTGCAGCAGTTCATGTTGCCACACTCCCTCCATGTAGCACACAAAACAAGAGAAGAAAGTTAAAGGGAATGCAAAACAGAGACAGTAAACAGAGATACGAGGCAAAAAGAATAGTAATAAGCAAAAGAACAATACAGTTTTATTGGGTATTATATGTAATAAGGAGTGGATGCATCTGCGCTGTCATTGAGCCATATTACCGACTATTTCCAGCTATTGGTGTTAACCGTCCTGAGGGCCCCAACCAGTCAGGAAGTCTATACCTTCCTACGTGGCTGGCTAGCTGGCTTTAACTAACTGTTGTAGATTTCATTGACTGGTGCCATGTTTTCGTTTGACCACCGCTAGCTCTTTTCCAACCTGATCCTGTGTCAGCTAACATTGCCCATCGATCAAGGAAGGCGATGGCTCGGTGTGCATGCGTAACATATGTCCTAACCATCTCAGTTGATGTAGCTTCACAGCCTCGTCGATTGATTTCCCCTCCTTACCTAGCACTCAACCGATACCTTACCTCAATATCGCTCACTCTATTATACCAACACTTCACACGGGAGATAGAATAGTGGCACACTACTTCTAAAAACTTATAATACCCTTCGAAATATGACATAATCCTTTTTTCAGTAGCCCAGGAAAGACTATGGATGAGTAATCAAGAACAATAGGTATAAGATGCAAGAGTTAGTAAATTGTGCATATAGAGGTTGAGTGATAACCTACCTGATAGGCTTAACTTCTTAATGTAGAAGGTCAAACGGCATATTTTCTTATAAATCAACAAAGTATGGGATGGCCACGAAAGATAAGAGGATAGAACTATTCCAACGTATATTCTGTGTTTGACTTAGTTTCTATTTCAATGCCCTTTATGCTACAAGCATCTTGTGAACAAACAAGTTCGTGTAGAGCACGTTTATGCATACCTGAGAGTGAAGTTAACTGTTTAACATTTAGAGGGATTTAAAGTAAGATTATTTAGCTTGGACCACTGGCTTATATCCAATCAAAGGAACAGTCAGATCACAACGTATCAGGCAACGAGACAGTCAGATCATCAGCGTATTTAACGATGTTGATTTCTTCAAACAGAAGCAAGTCATGTAAGAAAGTAAAAAGAAGGGTAGAGAGAGAGAGACAGAAGTATTTTTTACGAATAAGTGATGCATTATTATTATTATTGGTACATTATGGGCACCAAGAGATTCACCACACAAAATCGCATATTCTCTGAGAGGGCTAGTCTACTGCCTTAACACCTGGACTGAAGCGGGTAGTTGTCTCAAGGGGTTATTCCCACTCGAGTCTGACCCACGGGGAACTGGAGCAGAGTTAGAAGCTATATTCTCATGATCTCCAGAAACCGAACCAGGTTTGTACGACACACAATCCGTCCGGATTCTGGAGCCCATGTATGCTATAGCTTTGGAGTCAGTGTTTTCCAACACCCCCTCCACCTTGGTAGACCTACCTGTATTCCTACCAGTTCAATTTTAAGAGTCAAACGTTCGCATACACCCCTTCACTTTTGTGAAGAACATCCCCCCCTGAGTGGAGGCAATGGGTAGAACTTGCTTGACAGAGGCTATGCACGCGTTGAGAAGACCAAAGTCTACCTACCATCAGCCATACCTGGTTGTTTATAGGGGCAAAATGATACATTTCAATAGCAACCATCCAACGTCAACATGCATGTCGTCACAGAGATTGGATAAGACCGATGATAGGTACTACAGTAGTGTGTTGTAGATAATGAATGAGGGGCATTTTAATTGTGTGTGTGGGGGGGGGGGGCTAATGTCAAGTGACGATATTTAAGAGATAACAATCATACTGAGATGTACAAATAAGCAACTGAATACATATACTGAAGGTTACCAGCCCTGATTAGGTAATCTGGTGGATAATGCTACATAGTGAATTGGTTATCAATTATTTCAGTACAGGAAACAAGAAGCTAAAATAAAGTAGGATGTTCCATATTAGTTTGTTTACAGTAGTATTTACTGGATGACAAGGTTTCGAAAGAAGTAGAATGTGAACAAACTCAACTATAACTGATCTCCAACAAACTGACTGGCTGATTTCAACAGAGAACTCTGCAAAGAAGTGAAGCAGTTCGAGTTTACACACTCCATGCTGCAGACAAAAGTAGAAAAGCGGTGGAAAAGGAGGTTCAAAAGAACGACAATAAACAGAAACGTGAGGGAGAAAGAATAGTAACGTGGAAAAAAACCGTAGGGTTCAATGGATATAGCATAGCACAAAGATTGAATGCATCATCTGCGCCATCATTGACAACGATTTCGAAGTGCATCAGTAGTTGTTCCCAGTCATTGGTTCTTAGAGTCCTGAGGACTCCGCACCAACCAGCTACACAGCCTACACCTCCATACATAGTTGGCTCAAACTAACTGTTAAAAACTTCATGAACTGATTCCGTATTTTGGTTTCTGTCTGTTTTCGACATAGAACTTTGCACCGATGTGCAGCAGTTCAAGTCGCCACACTCCCTCCATGTAGCACACAAAGCAAGTGAAGGAAGTAGGAGAAATGCATATTAGAGACAGTAAACAGAGGTGTGAGACAAAAGTATAGTAATAATGAAGAACAAAAGTTTCATTGGAGATCATGAGTCACAAGGAGTGGATGCATCTGCGCCATTGAGAACGATTTTGAGCCATGTCACCAATTGTTTCCAGCCACCCAAAACCAGTCAAGGAGTCTACATCTTCCTACGTGGCCTAGACTTACTGTTGTAGATTTCATTGACTGGTGCCATGTTTTTGTTTGACCACCGCTAGCTCTTTTCCAACCTGATCCTGTGTCAGCTAACATTGCCCATCGATCAAGGAAGGCGATGGCTCGGTGTGCATGCGTAACATATGTCCTAACCATCTCAGTCGATGTATCTTCACAACCTCGTCGATTGGTTTCCCCTTCTTAAGTAGCACTTGACGGATGCTCAACCTCAATATTACTCACCACCACTTAACACGGTGGTTAGAACGCAGGCACCTATGATCAGAGACAGCTAGCCAACCAAGCTTTTCATGTCTCCCACTTTCAATGGACAGGTCTCACAGCCAGTCATAAAGGAGAACGGAGCGAACCGCTGAGTAGTACACACGCCCTTTGGTCGATAGCCAGCCGGATATCACTTCTATTCCTGAGATGGCGTAAACTGGCAAATGCCACACGAACCTTCTGTATGCGTGCCCGAGATCGCAGTCAAAATAAAAGAGGGAGACTAAAGGAGCATGTTTTTTTATTCTACCGCCACATGTGACATCACTGAAAAGACGTCAAAGGTTTCACTCACGATGAATACTTTCATACACGCGTTGCTAACGCACCAAAGTTTCATAAATCAAGTAACCATTCCAAATTCCCACATAAGTACATGTTCATCTGCGGTTTAATGACAGACTGCCCGCCAGCCATGCGTAAGGTTCAGGTTCAACTCCTAGCCCACGCAATCCTCAACCTTACCCCGGAAGGAAAGAAGACTGGATGTGAGGCTAACAACCCTACTCTTAAAAAACCAACACCAAGGCAACTGAAACTTTAAAGTTTGAAACCCGATGTTCAACTCAGAACGCAAAGAATAAAGAAAGCGTAAACACACACAGGAGATGAGCAAATATTAGTGACCATATTACCTTCCATATTAGTTTGTTTATTAGATGTATCACACAGTGAAACAGTATTATTTACTGGATGACAATGTTTCGAACAAAATTTATTGTTCATAATCATATCAATTGTAATCACACGACATCGAAACTTGAGTTTTATAGTTTTCTTTGTCTCCTATTTGTCGTCGTTGGGGTAGTAGAATTTTCCAGATATCCGGGTGGACAGGTGTTGAATCATCCCTATTACACGTATTCTCAGCCAGTTGATTCGATAAAGAAAGCTTCTGTTATCAATCTCCCCTTCTACCCTACTGTGACATTAGATTTTAAAACTGTCATCCTATTGTATGGTTGTGTGTAACTGCATGTAGTAGGTGCTATAGCTGAACTATTCTCTACATTTCCTATCTTATTCGGGCCAGCCAATCAAGATTTACCTAGGATTTTATGCTCGGCTAGTCTATCTGCCTCTGTTCTACTAATCTGACCTGACAATCACTGCATGTAGGGTATTAGATAAACTAAATTGTTTTGTTTTAAAGACTCCACAGGATCCTTTAGCCAACAGAGCTTGTTTCTGAATGAGTTTGTGAGGGGTTTGAATGCCGGCCACTTTTGTTCCTGCCTTGTTAAGAATTCTGCGTAGTGCTTCCGAGGTTCCTTCCTTGTATGGAATTATTACTGATGATTTAGATTCCTTATTGTTGGTGTTGCCTCGCGCATATTTGACATGCATGTCGTCATTATTATTCTTATTATTATTACTATTATTATTGTTATCGTTATTATCACTATCGCTTTGTTCGAAACGTCATCCAGTAAATAATACTGCTTCACTGTGTGATATGTCTAATAAACAAACTAATATGGAATCACTTAATACCACAGTGCCCAAGTTTTACACATATATTAACCATATTACCTTCTTATCGGCTTGGAGATTTTCTTTCAAACCTGGTATTACACAGGATAGCATACCCATCAATGCTGAATACACAAATCCACAATCTGAATAAGAACAATTTGTTGCTAGTCTTATTGTGTCCAGTAGGCGGTATTCGAAATTCTTTGGTAAAATAATATCTCCTTCAGACTTTGCTACTATTAAGGGAAAAACAAAACCAGAAAAAAGTAAAATAATCTTTAACATTATTTGTTCTTATAGCAATAAATATGTCGCTCTATCGGATATACAATATAAAAGTATGCAATGATAATGAATCATCAATACAATAAGGATCGTTGTATCTAGGAGCCCATAAAGAGTGAATGCATTCGCGTCAGAGAAAACGATTTTGTGCCATGTAACAAATAGTCTCCAACCTTTGTTTCTTGGCGTCTCTAGAACCCCAGCCAGGCAGACAACACCTTCCTGTGTTGCTCAATCCAACAGTCACACAAGCAGATGTACACTACTTGGCTACCGCGAATCTCTTGAAGGGGTAAATATAATCAATTCATCTGCCAGGTGTTTACTTGCTCATTTCTCCAATGCACCATTTGGTCTACGTATGAGATTATCTAACCTAGAATCTTAGATACTATGACAGTCAAGAGAACCGCCATATGATTACCACAGGAAGAATTACCTCCATTCTTATAAACTTGGATGATCAAGGATTTACACCAGTCCAATGTGACTATCTCAGCTCCCCACACATCACTTAATATCTTACTTAACCCAGTCAGCAGTTCGTCGGCACTACCACTAAACACCTCTGCAGTCATGCCACGAGGTGCCACCAATTTGCTTAGTCTCAGAATAGAGGTACCTTCTACAAACTCATTACAGTTGGAGGACCAAAGTCCCATTCAGGTCATTGCTAGGTGTTGGGCTGTAAGCCCGTTACACTACTCCTCAAAGTTACCTCCAATGTTGGTCTCTTTTCCTGAGAAATAATCAGAGAATCCGCTAATCGGAGAATGTATGGCTTATTAGGTGTCTTTTACAAGCAGATTCCCTAGGGCACCTAAATAGTTGTCTGGTGTCACCTACCACCGATGGTCTTTCCATCTCTTTGACGTTGGTAACTAGTCACTATTCCGGGTTGTCGCAAAGAACTTTATTCAGCTTCCATTTGGATAAATCTTGCTCTTCGTCGTTCGGAACTTCAGACGACTCTGAAACAGCCAATCAGATTCTTCTAGGTGAGAAGTACTAAATTTACAAAGAAGTGTATCTACGATATATATGTAATAAAAAGGGTATATATCTCTAATATGCCGCAAAAACTGGCCCCAAATTCTCATAGAAGTGGTTATAGACATATCACCTTATAAAGACTTCCTCATATTAAGTGGTTGCATACGAATGTGTAACCGTCAGTAACCCGTCAATACTTTTTCAGAGTCATTATCCCTCCACATACTTGTTTTATTCCTCCCTACCAACCCATTTTCCACAGAGAAGTCAAAAACCAAACCTAGGAGATATTTTCAACGAGGATTATGACTAACAATCATCTGTAATGCTGAGCTGTCTGATTGGTCAAATCAATGTCATTTGACTTTGGTGTCTATTGTTTACTCTTGCTGGAGATAGTCTTCTTGTTTCAAGAAATCCGACCCTCATGCCCAATAGTTGTATTGCATGGTTTCTTAATATGCTGCTCATTTAGCTTTACAGCACTCGCACTACTCACTATTCTACATTTTTGTGGTGAATTCCGGTTTTAAAGGAAATCCTTATGAGCTCTGAAACTGAAGTTCGCCTGAAAACGTCAAAATGTCATCAGTTTATGTTGGAAGATATTTAAAAAAACTCACTTGCCGCTTGAGTTATACGTTTTTTAGGATCAGTTATCCTTAGCTCAGAAAGGTTTCCAGGTGGTTTCACATCACCAGGTGTATCCATGTCTTTTTCTCCTCTTATCTGCAACAAACGTCTGGGGATTATGAAATCACAACTAGAAACAATAGTACTCAAGCAAATCCTCCTTCCCCCCAACATTTTCTAGAATTCTATCAGTCAAGTTAGCTAATGCATTTTTAGCAAACTCAACTTTGATGTCTTGATCCCCAGTCTGACATATCAATGTTACATGCAAATATAAAGTACCTCGTATTTTTCGACAAAATCTGATGGGACGCAACCTAAAGTCCCATCTGTCTTACACACCATACGCCAGTCTTGATTTACTTCACGAATATCTAAGAAAATTTCATTCTTAGAGAACTTTAAAGTTCCTGGGAAAGAACCAGGGTAAGGGTATACCGCTCGCAACATTCTGAAAGTTGTGTAGGTCGCACAACATTAAACATTAAAACAACCATGTGTCATAAGTAGACTTCAGACTTTTGAAGGATAGTTTCAAGTCACCTCATATAATTCTATGTATTTTATAGGGCCAGTCTTGTTTGGAATGGAATAAAAAATCTATTTTGTTGGTATTCTAAGAAAATTATTTTTGTTCGAAATTTCATGGATGTGATAAGCTTGTGAACTTTCTTCCAAAGTCAGATAAAATATATTAGTGTCAGTTGCACTGGCTCTAGTGAAATACCAAAGGAATGGTACTCACGCAAATATGACCCACCCTGAAAACAACTGTTGTGGTTAAAAATTTCCTAAAAGCATTAGTCAACTTCATTCGACATTGAGTGCCTACCTACACTGAATAAATCGAATAGCCAAGTCGAAGCTACGTTGTCGGGAATCCGCGTTGCTTAACAATCTGTCGTGTTACATCTGGTCGTTCGTACATGAACCCTAGCCACTGAGGTAATCATCACTTTACCTTTTTGATCCCTAAATATATCTCGTAATCTGGATAATCGTTTGGTTGTTTCTATTAGCCTCCGTTGTCAGTACTTTGGAAGTTGGAGGATAAACACTTTTAGCCGAATACTGCGTATCGTTCGCAACCGTCTATATCCACCATCTCATATATCACCCTATTACGCGGCAAATTCCATATTTATTTTAATATTCCGGATAAGAGCATTGTGAATGTTGAGGAGGCTAACGAGTGTTTTCCTAAAGATGCGGAAATCTGACACACATTGAAACGCATTACGTCCTTGAGGTAGGATGACTGGGAGCAAACGGGATGGTTTAACGCCTTATATTGGATATTCGATGAAAAAATTGGGATATCATTTTGAATCACACCTATGTAGAGAAGTCAGCCTCTCCTAATCCGACTTTCTCAGTTGTAACTGGTAGCAGGATCCTCCATTGTTCTCAGAAAATTAGGTCAGCTTAGTAGCACACTGGACAATAACAGTAACTGCCCTCTAGCTACTGATATCGGCCATTGCATGGGAGGATTCTAGTTGGTTCAATAAACTTTTCAAGATTGAGCTTCATGGACTGTGTTTCGGATGAATTGTATTTTCAAACGCATCTCAAAAAAGCTAATCGATCTACGTAGTCATCATTGGAGGAAAAGTGGCCGAGGTATAACTCCTAGCATTGTAGAACATTCATAAAGAAAAGTAATAATGGTATAGATTTTTTGCTTCTGCTAAATCATGGGATTTTTCTGAGATAACCCTGCAAGTCTCGGTTCAACTTTTATTCGTATTCTTCCCTGTACTGCCTCCAGATTCTACAGTGTTTTGACCAAAAGTACTGTAGCTCAGAGGAGACAAATGCGGCTGAATTTGTAGCGGCAACAGTAAAATTTAACTAACTCTTGAAGTAAACGAGCAAAAACTAGCCAAGCTCAACTCAGTCGTAGGTTTCGGTGTCATATAAAATAAATAAATAAATTTATTCTCATAGTACAGTACATGAGGGACGCCAGTTTACAGGCATCATCAAACTGTTACAGAAATAGAGTCATGTAATTCAATCACAATTTACAGGCAGTAGCAAGATATGCCTTACATGTTCGCTGGAGATTATACATACACTTGATAAATGTTAATCCCATTTGTATAAAACAGCCTTTTCACTTATATACAATCATTTCTGTGCACAGTTGGAAAAATCTGCTAGATTGTCAGTGAGTGCAACACATCAGGAAAAACAGAAGTATTGTCTTCGCATTAACAAAAAAACCAGGTCTTTGGTGGATGAATTATAAGTGCCTGGGAAAAAAATAAAGCTTGAAGTCAATTTTCATACATAACTTTGTTGTATGCAGAATCCTTGAATTATAGTTCATTGGTGTGTTATTTTGAAATCAGCGATATGTTTATCTCATTTGATCTGCAATGTCATTGTTGGGAGTAAATACATAGGCTTCAGACTCATTAATTAATGGATTTCTACTGCTTGTGGGTATTTTCTTAGCGTGAAGAAAGCTTATGAATTTCAGCTGTTCCGACAGGAGTTGAGAATATTAACTGCTCAGCAACATTATGGATATAAGTTCATTACATTGCCTAAGGAAAGATGAGTTGCAGTTGGTGAGGGATATATGGTGCCCAGCGAGCGTACATCTGTCCATGTGATGTTGTGGTCGGTTATACCTTCTTCATGTTGTCAGTTTATGTCCATTTTTATTCCACTTATTGTGTTGGGTAGTAGTTTTACAAACGAAATTTATTGTCTGTTTGAGGGTATGTATCTTAACTGTTAATGTTTTATCTTAAATTATAAATATAGGCAAAAAACAACAGGTGTAGTATTTAAGCTTATACATTAAATGGACCTATAATTTCGGAGGCTCTCAGATAGGAACTAGAACTGCTATCGTTTGCAAACTCTTGTAGTTTGTCATTAAGCACCTTTTTGAAGGAGGCCAATGTACTTGCTTGACGCATTTCCATTGGTAGTTTATTCCATATCTGTGCATACCTAATCAAGTAAAACTTTTGCCTGGTGGCTGTTTTACATTGTTCGATGGCTACTGTACCCTTAGTGTGTCTTAGTTTGTAGCCACTGTCATCTGAAAGTCGAGCGCCATTAGTAGAGGTAAAAACTAAGTGGTTTAGGAGCTTATAGTAAAGTGTTAAGTTTAGTCTCAGGCGTCTTAGCCATAGTGCTTCTAGTCCTAGGATATCACATCTAGTGGAGTAGTTCGCACCATTTTCGGTTCCGAGTAATTTTAACGAGAAGTACATCTGCACTCCCTCGACTTTCAATTTGTCCTCTATGCGTATACTACTATACATGAATGAACAGTAATCAAATAAAGGACGCACACAAACCTTGTACAACAGAATTCTAGACTCATTTCTGTAGAAGTTCCTGAGTAGAAAGCCGATAAGTCTGCGTGACTTTGACACTTGTTTGGAGATATGTTCAGAAAATGATAAGTTATGTGAATATTTCAGCCTTAGGTCCAGTACAGATTCCAGTCGTAGTAGTGCATGGCCTTGAATTGTCAGGTTAAGCTCTAAATTATTGCAACCTATGCAGAGCCAGCCACACTTTTCGACACTAAACTGGGGTTGCCAGGTGTCACACCATCTATCCATTTTTTCTAATTCTTGCTGTATGGCGTTTACTGTTATTCCAAGATCTGTGTTCTTGCATTTATAGGTCACTTTTAAGTCATCTGCATATATTATTGGTTTACCTACACTAAAGCATTCACATATACTGTTTGTGTATATATATACTCTAGTAGTTTAGCGTTCTCCGAACAAATTGATTGTGCTAGACGCAAAACACGAAGACTCCTAGGATGCATAACTCGCGAATTCTTTTGTTGTGAAACTAGGGTTTTATTATACAAAGTATGTGTCCGACTTATTTTGGAGTACTGCCCGTTTATTCTTAGTGGACTGCGACAGAATGACAAGCTCAAATTGGAGGGAATGCAACGGCAGTTAACTTCAGGAACTCTTGGTTTGGAATGTGGTCTCGACTACACTGAGCGATGCGGCAGACTGAAATAATAAATAAATAAATAAATTTATTCTCATGGTACAGTACATGAGGGACGCCAGTTTACAGGCATCATCAAATTGTTACAGAAATAGAACCATATAATTCAATCACAATTTACAGGCAGTAGGAGTATATCCTTTATATGTTCGCTGGAGATTATACATACACTTGATAAATGTTAAATGAAAATAGAGCCACTCTGGAAAAGACGTCTTTAGCTAAACCTTATTTTCTAATACAAGTTAAATAATCTTCTTTTGCACTCCTCCAGGCCAATAACCAAACCTACCGCTGTCATCATTTACAATCTTAGAAATCATGACAACCTCGTTGCAGTAGAGCATTGTCAGACTTACATGCGGTACAGCTTCTTAAATAAGTTTTAGGTCATCTGGAGTAGACTAACAGCTAATGTGCGTGATGCGAACACGCTACCAGGGTTCATCCCCTCGGTCACCAAACTGCTCAGAGATGACAAAGCTCTCCTGAGTCTGACTCCTAAACTTTCCTTTTCACCTGTGGTAGCCGGGAAACATCAAATTATACGTTCACCGTAAAATAGTAAAAGTAATGGATTCATGGAAAATCATGGTTGTTACGTGAGATTAAACAAGGACACTACCTGGTACCGCGTGAAGTATGGACGACACTTCTTCCCTCTCCAGCTCTTTGCTTTCTACATCTGCCGACCGACTCTGCCTGGTACCTGATTGGTACACCCACATTAGAATCTTTTGCTTCAATCTACTTTTCTCTCTGCAAGTGCCCTCTGGCCGTTGGCATCTCTTACGTTTAGTGAGCATCTGTATACCCAAGAAAAGGACAATTTCATCCCTACCACTCTGCACGTCTACATTTGAGTATTTTGGGACAACCTTCCAGATAACTGCATTCTTGTGTGTATATTAATTTATGTGGACTGAATACCGTTCTACATACATACATGTTTGTATTTTTGTCCTATTCATTATGCGTATAAAGGAACTTAGCCGTTTAGTGAACTACAAGCCCAGTGATCTCAGCAGGTCTCTTTCATTGTTTTTATAACTATTGTTATCATTCAGTTTGGAATTCGTGTCATTTCCAATGAGGGCTAATTATTTATCATAGTGGCCTAACTACCGTAATCCATTATAACCTTTATTTTCAATATTTCATGCCTCGTTTCCCCTATCTATCGCAACATGACCTGAAAACTCTCACAGCTGTCGTTTATCATGACTGATTCCATGTAGTCTTTTTACTTATATCTATCACATAAATTGTTTTAACTTATGCAAATTTTGCTTACTGTCATTTTTCCACTACCTTCTCTTGCATATATATCTTGTGTTAGTGAAAAATTGTAAACATGCTTACACCATGTATACGTTATTATCAAATTGATGATGTCCGTAAACTGCAGTCCCTCATGTGCATAAAGCGCATATTGTTATAAGATGCATTTTATTGTTATATGACGGAAATGACTTCAAGCCTTAGTTTTTTCCCCAAGTATCTGTAATCCATCCAACGAATACTTGAGTTTTCTTGTTAATGCGAAGTCAATATCTCTATATTTCTTGATGTGGTCCATTGAATCACTAGTTATCAATTTTTTCCCACAAACTAAAGATGAAATGACAAGAACCATG